GAAAAGAGCAAAGTGGCCCCAGCAAGCAATGAAATTTCATTGCAGCCACTTTACAGTCAGACCGACCCACTGGTGGCCACAAAATTTAATTATCTGCTACTGCTCACCACCCACCACCTGCCCCAACCCACGACTGATGGCAATTAGAGGGGCCAAGATAAATAACAAGAAGAATGCAGACAAGTTGCAAAGTTGAACTTGCAAATTACATTACATTCCCAAACAGCAACAAAGTGCTTAAGCTCTTAAATGTCGAGCAGCTGGCAGACCCACATACAATGCCATGAATAAATATGCCAACCCTGGCCAATTTGCAATAATTTCCTGACAACGTGCATTACATCACAAATTCAAATTAGTCTCACAGCATTAATATCAATAGGCCACATGCCTAATTAGTATAAAATATTAATATATTCTGTGAAATGTGTTACAGATTTCCTATTATTTGATTCTATTTAATGGATTTTATTTAAGCATTAACCCAAATTTTAATTATACCCAGCAGTACAAATAAACAAACTGAACTCTTAACGCTTGATAAATAGGTAAATGCAATATATAGCATAAATGCATATGTATGTTTATATTAACATTAAATTTTAAATTAATTGAAACATATGATTTCGATGGCAAAAACGTATATATTCAGAATTCTTTTTATCACATTTCAGCATCATAAATCAAATTACTAATGCATTAGTAAAAGTAATTTTTATTTCATTATCCAGATGTGAGCTCCCCACACTCGAAATGGAGTGAACTCAGAATGTCTGTTTAGTAAAACATTATTTTAGCGCTCAATTTTATATGCTTCTGGGTAATAAAAGTCAGCACGTCTGTGGTTTCTGGTAGCTTACTCTTGGCTGGAAGTCTCTCATATGCCTAAGGAAACAAATTATATTTCAAATATGCATATGCCAACATATATTTATTTTCAATAAAATAAGTGTAATTATGAATGCTAGGATGTCTAACCGAAACACCCTCACATTTAATGGGTTTAATAATTGGCTTAAATGTCAGAGGGAATGAGAATTTGAGACATGATGGCCTACGTCTATTTATTAATTGATTAATAACATTATTTACAATATTCTTGACTGGAAACTAATTTATATACAAATACACCTACTATTCAAAAAATATGCGTGAGTAAATATTTCACATATAAGATTTATTTATGACTTGATTTTACAATTTTGATATTTAATTTTCTTTTTGATGTAATTTTTCGATCACATTTATTGTAAGTAGGAAAATACAGAGAAAAAATATTAATAAAAATAAATTTAATTTTTAAGCCTGTGTTTTTATTGCATGCGAAACAACCAAGCGAATTAACTCAATTTGTGCATTATCAAATATTCGAAAAAACACTAAATATTTTACAATCTTTATGGCCACCCACACAGCTTTGGCTTAAGGGCTGAGGTCATAAAACTCTCGACAGCAACAAAAACAACTACAACAAGAGCAATAACAGCGGTGTGTCAATAAAAGTGTCAATCAAATCAATGGGCAACCAACACTAAACCATTTTTCCCACACAAACACACTCTCACGCACGTTGTGTTTGTGTGTGAAATATGCGCCTGCTGCTGCATAGTTGTCTGAGCAACCGCCATTTTCTGTCAACAGCAATAAAAAGAAGTTAAGTGTTAGGCAGAGATTTTTAGAATATTAAATGCTCTTACATATGCCCTTAAATTGATATTTTAAATAGTATTTTAAATAAAATAGTATTTTAATTTATGTTAACTATCTAATATTTTACTTTATTTTAATCTCATTTATTAATATTTTTTAAAGATTAATAGTCTTCTAATTTGTATAAACTATTTAATATTCTATTTTGCTTCAATTTCATTTTTATGTTACTTTAATATTTAAATTTCTTATTTTAATGTTTATTTCTTCTTCCTCCCATTTGGATTTGTTATTCACATATTTTGATGTTCTTTAGATGTATACGTCCTTTGAGTAGATATTTGTGAATCATTGCTTTATCCCATAGTTTGGAAAAGGGTATTTTATGAAGAAGAGCTAGTCACACATGTGGTACATCCTTTTTTGGGATACATTACCTAATTTTATATCTATTTCTCACTTTCTTTCTGATTTTGCTTGGCACTTGTGTGCTAAGGGTTTAAGTTCAGTTTTCGGTTTCGACTTCAAGGTCATCGCCTTAACAACGGCTTGGGGTCTCTATGTGACTTTTTATGCTCAGTGGACAGCGCCCGCGCACATTTGGCGTGCGTCATTGGGAAAGCAACAACAGTAGCAGCAGGAGCAGCAGGAGGAGCATCAGCATTAGCGTCAGCCAAATGGAGCTGAACAAATTCATCTGGCATCTGTTAGGCATCAAACATTTAGCGTCGGATCAATGTTGGCCAGGCAAGGCAAGGCAAGGAAATTTGCAAAATTTGAAATACTTTCATTTGTCAAACTTCGACTTGGCCAGAGAAGACAGCATCAGAGAGTATGCAAATAAATCAGCTGTCGGTTGCCAGGATTATTAATGGTATATATCACAGAGCATTTAGCCGATTTAGTCTGGCTGAAAGTCAATTCCTTTGTGCAAACAGGTGTTGGTCGTACAAGGTACATCCAAAATGTAAATATGGAGCTCTGCTGTGCAAATTAAGCAGCCATTCCAAAATCCAATACCCAATATTCCACGCATACTATCTAAAATTCACAAAAATTTATTGACGGACGTGCCTCGATTACCAAGCAAACATAAAAATCAGTCGAGCGCGACACCGCCGAGCCCCACTCCCATCACCACAGTTGACCCCCTATCAAGCATGTGAAGAGTCAAAAGTTGCTCTTTGCCAAATTGAATTATGCAGTGATGCTTTTTTAAAGACACATGATACAAATTTAAGCTGAAACGTGCAGCTGAGTCCACAGAGACACAGATTTGTTCAGGGACTCTTGCATCTTTAGCATTTACCCAGCACTCTCGGCTGCTCGCTCGGCCACTCTTGGGCACAGCGGAAACGAGAAGTTGTAACTAAATCCTGTTGCAATCACAAGCAAACAACAGACATACTTGACAAGTGGACTTAAATGCAGGCTGTCAGCCAGCTTGCAGCATCTGTTACATGAAGCAGAGACTTTGCTTCAATTTAGTAGAGAACAATAAGCTGACTGGATGCCTGGTTGATTGCAGCTCAAATCACAGCACAAACTCTGCTAAGTGCAATTCCAAATTGTTTTCTTTTCCCGTGTACAAATAATTGATGAGAGAGCATTTAATTAACACAAACTTGAGCTAATTAGTATAAACTTTTCTATAAGCTTAAGTGACAATTTTTAATACTTATTGCAAATGCCCAGATAAACGTCGAACTAAGCTCTCCTGGCGCCTCTCCTTCAGGACATCAAAGACAGCTATGAATGCCTTGGAGTATCGAAGCATTCACCATAAATAAGTAAAAGCTAATACTGGGTGCCCAGCTTTAATCACCCCAAGAGCTGGAAATCAAACACAGACAATCCCCTTCCTAAGCCCTGCAGATACAAATGCCAGACACCAGCTTTAATTGCGCATTAATGTTTATTGCGGAGCGGAAGTGGCGCCATTCTCCCGCTCCCCGATTTCCCCCACATTTGCTTAGCTATGCCAACAAATCCGCTCGCAGTCTGTCCGTGTCGAGCAGCGCTTGAAATACTCTTTGCCGGAGGAATGGTAAATATGTCACATTCTTAAGCTGCACAATAAACAATGGAGAAATTCCTGGTATGGTCATCCCTCTCTTAGCTGTGTACTTGACTTGATTTCAGAGTAAATCAGGTTTAAATCCCAAACGGATATTGTAGCAAATGAACACAGGCTGATAAATGATAAAAGCTGAATATCATAAATTCCAGGTGAAAGAATTACACGAAATTATTTATAAATACATTTTAAGCCGGAAATGAATAAAATTTTAATTATCCACTGAAAATATTATATTAAAAGCAACCGGAAAAAATGCTGCACACCTGATATGCTTCACACCTGTTGTCTAAATTCACTTTTAAAAAATGATGCATACTTTTCAGGAATTCATTACCAACGATGCAAAAAAAAAAAAAAAAAAGGCTTCATGTATTAAATATTTTTCTTCTGAAAGAATTTTTATTTCATTTGACCCTAAAACATTTCCGTTTTATTTATTATTTAATGTGTGTAACGTTTTAATTTATATTTAATATTAGTTTTATATAAGCGGAAATAGGATTGTGATTTAATTTACAAATTTATTGTTTTTTGCGTAATTTTTGGTAATGTTTTTATGCTCAGCTTATACAATATTACATTTAAAGTTATTCAATAAATAAATATTAAACAAAAATCTGTATTTTTCTAGAATAAATGCTTAATAAGCCTATTATTAATGTTTTGCAATTATCATAATGTTCTAATATAACTCTTAAGCATATTCACATTTGAGCGTTCTCCGAATTCGATTATATTTTTTCGTACATCTCTGTGAGTAGAGTATTAAAGAAGCGATAAAAACATAAGACATTTTTGGGGGACTTTTATCCATTTGGTTTCATTAATTCTGTTGGTTCGTGCTTTCGGTCTCTGAATTTGTTTTGTATTTCCTGGTCTGCTAAGCTCAAATACTTCCGCCTGCTTGCGCGCCATTGTGGCACAGAATTTATGGTGTAGTTGGCTGGCAGTTTCCGCCGCATTTTCCACATGCTTGCCGCAGGATAGGAGAGTGCCTTAAGCTCAACGCCATTTCGCTGGATAGATTAATTGGGTTATGCTGCGACAACCTTTTGACCTTTCGTTTGCCGCCCCTCAACAGCGGCAAGGCGTGCTATGGGCTCAGTCCACGGGCTATTGATGAGGATTAGCGTTCGTCTGCCCAGTCGAGTCTGCTGCCCATTGATAGGGTGTTGATGTGTTTAGACAGCGGTTGGGCAAACTGTCCGCCACATTTGCCCGAGATAGCAGGCGTTCTGTTTTTCAGCTTGTCGGCCGGCTGAGAGGCAACAAATATTGACGTTTCAGTCAGTTTTTGTTTTGAAAATCTAAAAAAAAATACAAAAATTATAAGTGGACTTTTTAAAAGCATATAATGGAGGCTAAAGGCAACACAGTGGTAGGTTCAAACATCGAACACTTAGCTCGGGCTTACCCTAACCTTTTTTCAAGGAGAGGAGTGTCCTGTCGCGCATTAACATGTTTAACCAGCATGTGGAGGAGCACAAAAACTGGCAGCGCATCAATCCCTTCTCCCACTACAATGTGCGAGATGTACCCAAGCGCAGCATTCAAAAGGACCTGTACGGCACCCCACCCGCCGGCAGCCTCTCTGAGCGGCGGGCAGTGCAGGCGCAGATCCTATCCCTACAAGAGATCCTCCAGCTATGCGAGCTGATCAACGAAAATGGCGAGCGACAGTCGGCGGATGATGCCGCAGAAGTTAGCCTCATGTTCGGCGTGCTCTTTGAGGTGGGTAGCTCTGGTAAAGGTTCCTCCGTCAGCTCACCTGCCCGCTTTACAGATGTACAACCACATCTCTGACAAACTACTTGGCACGCTGCTCTGCGCCCGCAAGCACAAATACATTGACTTCGAGGGCGAGACACTATTTCAGGGTCGCGACGATAAGAAAGGCGTGCGTCTTTTGCGGCCTTTTGAGGAGCTAAGGGATGGCATTTTGAATAAAATCGAGAGCCTACGTTGCATTCTAGCTGAGCAGCCCGTGGAGCCTGTGGAGCCTGTGGAGCCTGTTGAGCCTGTAGAGCCTGTAGAGCCTACGGAGCCTGTTGAGGCTGTGGAGGAACCGTAGCTATGTAACAGGATGCCTTATTCTTGTAGGTGGCACGTGGCACGTGGCACGTGGCACGTGGCACGAGGCACTTGCCTGTCATACAATCGCTGACCCGTGTCATTGGTGGCACACACCGCACACCTTACTCCAGACACCACACTCCTCGGGGCACGTGCGCCACTCTCCAAGCCTTTAAAAGTTAATTAAATTAACATTTCGGCTGCCTGAAGACCACTCAGTCCCAGGCATCCCAAGGCGATACCCGACCTGACTGTCCGCCCCGAGCCAAATGGAGCCCTGCTGTGATCTGCGAAATACACCTGCCTCTCAAATTGTCACCTCGGATACACAGCTAATGTATCGAGAACACACATTTTAGCCAACATTTATATGCAAATAAATATCTTTGAAAAGCCCTCGTCTAATGTGACTCCGGCTGGAAATGAGTTCAAAGCAGCGCCATGCGGCATTTAGCATGTGGCTAGGTTACCAATATATTGATATATGTACCCTGCGTACAGCGATACATATACATATCTATTTGTATTTTCACCTTAGAGGCTTTCAGTTCTATTCCCGCGTGGCACAGTGGCAATGTTTTCGGATTTTATTGGCGTTCAATTACAACTCCATTAGCTCCTTATCGCAACAAGCGTGTTGAATCAATACATATTCATGGTCGTCTGGCTTGGAGGTTGCTAAGCAAGCATTTACATCAATCTCAATAAATATTTGAAAAACAGTCAAGTGGTACATTTGAATAATAAATCCACATATTTAAATAGTTATTTCATTACTATTACCATATCACAGATCTTATGGTGAGTATGTAAGAGACATGGAAAGACATTCCAATGTTCGTTAGATTGGCGATATTATGGATCTATTTGGTCACCCTAATTCACTATACAGGCGCTTAGCTACTAAGGATAAAAAATAGTTGACTCAAAAGGTAACATACATTAAATCGCCCTACAAAGCCCCCATATTTAACTCTTCCCTATATCTGATAGATATTGTTAAAAATAAAAGTTATCGATAACTGTAATAATTCTATGATTTGCAATTTCTCTTAAATGTAAAGATTGATTAAAGCTTAAAATAAATTAAATTCAAATAAAAAAGA